CGTGGAAATAGGGTACAGACTTACAATTCCCAGAAGAGGGGGTGGGAGGGAGGGAAGAGATAAACCACAGAACTTATATGCATGTACACATAACCAATGGACATGGTCAACAAAGCCGGGTATGGGGTGGGGAGGATCAGAGGAGGGTGTCTGAGGGGAAAAAGGAGAAACATCTATAACAAAAATTAATTAATTAAAAAAAATTTAAATCTCTGGGCTAGAATATGTAGTTTTGATTTTATTATTTGTGCTGTCAGGATTTAGGCAGGGGAATAAACGTTATGATCACAATAATAGCTCACATTGAGTCCTTACTACATACTAAGCATGTTCTAAGTGCTTTATATGTTATCTCATTTAAATTTCATAAGCTTATGAGATATCAATAATATCCCCATTTTAAAGATAATAATGTTACCTATAGATGAATTAATTTTTATAACACTTCTTAAAATTTAAGATATAATTCACATACAAAAAATGTGCATAGATTTTAAATGTATTATGATTATTTTCAACAAACACATTCCCATGTAACAACAATCCCAGTCAAGATAAGAATTTTTTCATCATCCTGTAAATTTTCTTCATGCTCCTTTTCAGGTATTGCTCCCTATCTCCTACGCAGAGGTAATCATTATTCTGATTTTTATCATCATAGATTAATTCTACCTATTTCTGAACTTCATATAAATGGAATCACGTGGACTTTATGTCTGCTTTCCTCATTTAACATATTTTTGAGGTTCATTTATGTTGTATTTATCTGCTGTTCATTCATTTTATTGATTACTAGTATCCCATTGTATGAATATACCCAAATTTGTTTATTCATTCTTCTGTTAAGGGACATTTGGATCATTTCAAGTTTTTAGCTGTTAGGAATAAAGCTGCTGTGAACATTCTTGTATAAATATATCTATATGTGTACTTTCACTTCTGTTGAGTAAAGATCTAAGAATAAAAGTGATGGATCATATGATTAACTTTATAAAAAACTGTCTGTTTTTCAAAGTGGGTGTACACTCTAACCAGCAATGTATGAAAGTTCTGATTTATACTTTTAAAATATTTTTCTTGTCTGTGAAGCCTGGATTTTAATGGAATAACGATGAAAGCAGAGAGACAAGTTAGGAGGCTTTACATAGTCCAGGTGAGAGGTGATAGTGTCTTGGACTAATGTGGAAGTAGAGGAGATGTAAAGAAGAAGTTGGATTTGGAATATATTTTGCAGGTAAAATTAGCAGGGCTTAATGAATTGAATGAGGTAAGGAAAGATAAGTGAAATGACCAAATTAATGCTAACACCTATGTATTTACCGTGAGTAGTTGTTCATGCTACTTACTATGATAAGGAGATGATTAGAGGAGAGAGCAAACTGGGGGATTAGTAATAAACTAGGAGTTGTATTTTGAATGTATTTTTGAAAGCCTAGTAGACATCCAAGAAGAAATTTCAAATAGACAGTTGGATATGATATATATGAACTTTAGGAAAGAAGTAAAGGCTGAAGATTTAGGTTTTCTAAAGTTATAAAACTGAATCAAACTAACCAGGGAGTGATTGGTTGTTTTTGTTTGTTAATTTACTGATTGATTTTAGAGAGAAAGGGGAAAGGAGGGAAGAAGGGGGAGGGAAAGAGGGAGAGAGAGAAAGACATTGATTTGTTGTTTCACTTATTTATGCATTCATTGGTTGATTCTTGTATGTGGGCTGACCAGGGTTCAAACCCACAACCTTGGCCTATCAGGATGATGCTCTAACCAATACAGCTACCATTCCAGGGCTTGGGAGTGACTGCTGAAAAATATCCACAGGGGAGGATTTAAAAAAAAAAAAGAATTTTGGTTGAGTGATAGGTTCAGAAGTTTACCTTTGAATAAAACACAAGAGGTGAGAAAATTGAGACAAGTATAAACATCTCTTTCAAGAAGCTGTGCGTGTGTGTGTGTGTGTGTGTGTGTGTGTAGAGGGAAGTGGATAAATGGGGCAGTAGCCAGAGGAGAATGTAGGGCAAGGAAGGGTGGTTTTTCCTCTAAAGATGGAAGATATACTTGATATCTCTCATACCCTTTACCATCCCCACTAAATATGAACCATCACCAAGTTCTTTATTTTTTTTTATCCTCACCTGAGGACATTTTTTTTCCAGATAGAGTGGGAGGGAGAGAGAGAGAGAAACATCGACGTGAAAGGGACTCATCGAGTGGCTGCCACCTGCACGACCAATCAGGGCCGGGAACAAACTGCAACCGAGGTACGCGCCCCCAGCGGGAACCAAACCCAGGTCTCTTCGGACCGCAGGCTGATGCCCCAACTGCTGAGTTAAACCAGCCAGGGTTATTTTTTTATTATATATTTTTTAATCCTCACCCAATGATATTTTTTCCTTTTTCTTCAGATAGAGTAGGAGGGAGGGGGAGAGAGAGAGAGACATCGATGTGAGAGAGACACACCGACTGGTTCCCTCCCACAGAACCCTGACCAGGGTCAGGATGAACCGCAACCAAGGTACATGCCCTTGGCCAGCATCGAACCTGCGATTCATTGGTCCATGGGCCAATGCTCTAACCACTAAGCCAAAGTGACCAGGGCAAGTTCTATTTATTTTATGTCATAAATTTCTCAAAAATATCCATTTCTCTTCACTACCACTGCTATTACCTTATCCAGGTTATCATTATCCCCCATACACAGATTACTGCAGTAGAAGTTATAAGTGAACCCCTACTTTCTTACTTAATCTCTTCTCTACACTTAAGCCAGACATTGTCCAAATACAAATCTGATAAGTGACCCCACCTTGCACCCTATCCCCACTATATTATTAAAGGAGTTCCCATTTCTTTTAGGATAAAGACAAAATGACATGACTTTTAAGTTTCTACATGATCTTCCCATGCATATTCCCCAATTTCATCTCCCACTTTCCCTCTTACTTTCTGTGTTTTTGCTATACTGCTCTAATCTGGCCACTAGGTCTTTAAACTTGATATTCTCTCTGACTAGAATATTCTCACCCCCACATCTTTCCTCCTCTATCTAATAACTACTACTTTTTCTTCATATATCCAGTTCAATTATCTCTTCCTCACAAAAGCCTTCCCTGATCTCGCTAACCAGATTAATTCCCTTTGTTATATAGTTCTCACACAGTACCAGGTAGCTTTCTTTGATACACTTTCCACAGCAGTAATTTTTCATTTTCTTGTGATTATTTTACTGTCTGTCTGCCTTACTAGTGTTTAAGTTCTACAAGAGCAATGACAGTTCTATGAGGGTAGTGACTGTGTTTATTTTCCTTTGCCACTATATATACAACACTCAGCACAATGTGTGACACATAGTAAGTCCTCAATAAATACTCTTTAAGTGAATGGAGTTCAATGAATGGATAAACCCTAATTGTTATAACCTTACTAAATTACATAATATAGACTCTTGAATTATTTTGGAAATTCTCTAGTATCTCTGAAAGAAGAAATGGCAAATAACATGATTATTTCAATCATTAAATTTAGAATGACTGTTAGAAACTATATCCCCATATACATAACTGTATTTGATTATCTGGGGTTGTACTTAAGGCATTATTATTTTAAACCCTCTCTCAAAATTGTTTGTGGTTATGTGGATAAAGATCACAAGTACTCACCCAGCCAGTGTGGCTCAGTGTTTGAGCATCAGCCCACATACCAAGAGGTCACAGGTTCGATTCCTGGTCAGGCACGTGCATAGGTTGTGGGCCAAATCCCCAGTGGGGGGCATGCAGGAGGTGGCCAGTTGATGTTCTCTCTCATCAATGTTTCTCTCTTTCTCTCCTTTCCCCTCTCTCTAAAATCAATAAGAAAAAACTATTTTTAAAAAATGATTGGAATGTTAAAAAAAAAAAAAAAGATCACAGGTACTCTTCTTTTGTAAGTCATTAGTTTCAATTCTGTTTCCTTCCACTTACTTTTGTCAGCGATGTTATTAAAGTTGACCATTGAGTTTCACTTAATTTAATTTCCATTGTTATTAAAGGCAAATTTATAAAAAGGCTAATTAACATTAAAGTCAATTAAATATCTCACAACCAGAAAGAAGGATATCAAAAACTCATGGTTACATATGATTTTACTTGTATATGGAATCTAAAGAACAAAATAAACAAACAAAATAGAAATAGATTCATAGATACAGAAAACAGACTGATGGTTGACAGAGGGGAGGGAGTTTGGAGACTGGGTGAAAAGGGTGAAGGGATTAAAAAATACAAATTGGTAGTTACAGAATAGTCACAGAGATGTAAATTACAGCAGAGGGAATATAGTCAATAATACTGTAATACTATGTATGGGGCCAGGTGGGTACTTGAAATGTTAGGGGGGGTGCACTCTGTGAAGTACATGATTTTCTTTTTTGTTGTTGTTGTTCAGATAGAGTGGGGAGGGAGGGAGAGGGAGAGAGAGAGAGAGAGTGAGAGAGAGAGAGAAACATTGACGCGAAAGGGACACATCAAGTGGCTGCCACCCGCACAGCCCAACCAGGGCCAGGGACAAACCGCAACTGAGGCACGTGCCCTTAGCGGGAAGGAACCCGGGTCTCTCTGGACCGCAGGCCGACGCTCTACCACTGAGCCAAACTGGCCAGGGCTGAAGTACATGATTTTCGAAATACTATGCATACATCTGAGACCGATACAGAACAATACTGAATGTAAACTGTAATTGAAAAATTTTTTTTAATTTAGAAAAACTCATGGTTGATCTTCAAACTGTAAATATTAACTCTTCATAAGAAGTGGCTTAATTTATATTCTGTGAATAAAATAGGTATAATGAAATCAGTAACATATGAAAAGGTAATATATAAATTGATTTGTACTTTTAAAAATGAATATGTAGTAATATATTTATTCTGAGTGTAAAGCCTTATGTATAACTATTGGAAACAAAATAATTTTAATTGGTTTGTAACATAATTCATTTTAATAACATTTCTATAAAATATTTTTCAGAGAAATATTTCAAAGTTCAGCTGATGAGGGATGCAGCCAAAAACCATCAGAAGTGGAAAGTAAATCTGATTCTCAGTGTGTTTTTATTTCTCGAAATTTTCATACTGGAATATTCCAATTACAGGTAGAGTGCAATCTTTTACAAATAATTTTTTGATACCATGTCATTAGCATTGTTGTCTTTCAATTTTGACAGACAGAGAATCTTCTGTTATTTTTCAATCTGAGGGACGATAACATGAGCTAAATTTAAATGTCCCAAATTTAGTTAGGGTTTACATTATGGGACACTGAAAAACTAAATGAAAATGTCTCCTATAGTTGCTTCACTATATCTCTAGCCTAAAAATCTACATTCCCCACATTGTGATTGTTGCAGGGTGAAGATAAATGGCTAAGAAAAACAAAGCAAAATTACCAGGCCTATCAAAGGAAAGATATATGGAGATAAGAGGATAATCAGATAACCAGTTAATCTAACAGAACCAACTAATTAAAATTAAAGATTTATGCCCTGGCCAGTTTGGCTCAGTGGTTAGAGCGTCAGCCTGCGGTCCAGAGAGACCCGGGTTCGGTTCCCACTAAGGGCACGTACCTCGGTTGCAGTTTGTCCCTTGCCCTGGTTGGTCGTGCGGGTGGCAACCACTCGATGTGTCTCTTTCACGTCGATGTTTCTCTCTTCCTCTCTCTCCCTCCCACTCTATCTGAACAAAAAATGGAAAAATGTCCCCAGGTGAGGATTAAAAAAAAAAAATTATAAAGATTTATTAAGGCTTCATTATATTTCAAGTTCTGCTCCTCCTCATTGAGGTTAGTAAGATATGACCCTACATTTGAGGTGCTAGCTAGTATAAGTGTGAAAGGCAAACACATAATTAACTTTTAAAATATAAGTGTCAAAAACTGCCAAGTAAAACAAGGGAGAGACCAGTAGAAACTTAAAACTATGATATGGCTAAACAAAACAAATACTTTAGTGGTTTTATAACATTAACAGTAAAATAGCAACAAAATTATAAGACGTCAAAGTTTCATTATACATCTTGAATATTGAACTCAGTGTTTATTCATTTGTCTATCAAACATTTTTTGAGTGCCTTAAATATGGCAACACTAGTTTTGGCACTTAGTCGATATAAACAAATAAGACGAGCCCAGACCTAGATGATCCCAAAGTTAGTAGAGAAGAAAAAACATAAACTAAAAATTACAATGTGGCAAGAGCCACAAAATCAAAGAAATGCAGACAAAGGAGCATAAATTTTAAAAGGCTTCACAGAGAAGACATTTTTAGCTGGGTTTGAGAAGTGAATAGAAGTTTGCCAGGAGGAAAGAAAACAAAGGTCAGTATGTTCAAAGGCTTGTAGCTATGAAAGGAAGAAACATGTTCAGAAAAAAATTTATAATGTTTGGAGCCTAGGGTTTATAGAAGGGAGTGGTGGAAAAAGATCCTGGTGATGACATTGTAAGGAACCTTATTTGCAGTTTGAAGATTTTGGATTTTACCCTATAGGCTCTACAGATCTACTGAAGGCATTATGGGATTATGGTCAAGAGCATAGACTGAAGAGGTAGAATCCTTGCTCTACCACTACTAGCTCTGTCATTTTAGGCAAGTTACTTAACTTCTGTGTCTCGGTTTCCTCATCTGAAAAATGAGGATGATTTCATCTCCATATAATTGTTATGGGAATTAAGTGAATTAGTATATAAAAGGCACTCAGAATAGTACCTAGCTGCATAGTGAGTACCATACAAGTATACTGTTGTTATTACTGGAGAGCTTTAAGCAGGCAGGTTTAATGATCAGATTAATTCTAAAGATTATTAAAGAAAGCTCTGACTTTCAAATGAAGGATAGTTTGAAATAGAGATAGCATTGCAGAGAAAAAATTGTTTCTATGTATGTATTACTATTAATTGAATTTACTGATACCCATCACATGCTAGGAATTTTGCTAGGTACAAATGATATAATGGTGTCTTTATATCCAATGGTGGATACATACAAAAAGACAATTACAAAAATGTCATGGGTGCTATGATAAAAAAAAAAGTACATATATAGGGGTACTAAATTTTAATTAAGTTGTTTATTATGCATTCAGCAAATATGTAATAAGTGCTTATGTGCCAGGCACTGTTCTAGGCAACTGGAAATTTGTAGTGAACAAGAGAGAGGAGTCCCTGCTCTCATGAGACTTAGAGTCCAGTGGGAAAGATAAGTAAACACAAATTCAGGACTCTTGATAGTCAGTGAAAGGAACCTAATTCAGAATAAAAGATATAATAAAACATAATACAGCTAGTGTTGACCTTAACCACAATCAGTTTTGGTATATAATGAACTCTTTTCATATTGTCACTCTTTTTCAATCTCTGTGTATTGGTCTCTGTCTCTCCTACTACAATAGATAAGCAGGAGGACTAAGATTATTTTTAAAATATGATTTAATTAATATAGAACTACAGCTTGGTTTCTAAAAGAGTTTTATTGTGAAATACAGCATACATACAAAATAATATACATACACAGTTTAAAGAATAATACATGGAATTTTTATACCCACCACCCAGAATAATAGAGTAATAGCAGTACCTTTGAGGGTGTCCTAAGTCTTTATCTCTTACATCCCACACCCTCACCCTTCACTGAAGGACCCACTATCCTGCAATGGCAATTAACTATTTCCTTACTTTTCTTTATGGTTTTACCACAAATGTTATAAATCCTTGGACAATATATTATTAAATTTTATATGTTTTGGAACTCTATGTATAATATTCTCTTACCTTTTTGTGCAATATCATGTTTCTGAGATTCATCTAGGTTGGCATATATACCCATAGTTCATTATTTTTACTGCTATATAACATACCATTGAATGGATATATCAAATTTTATGTTGTGGATGTTTAGGTTGTTTTTACTTGTTTTTTAAGGAAATTTCTATAGAGAAAATATCTAATGGTAGAATTGCAGATTTATGGAGTATGTGCATGTTCAATATTATTAGACAATTCCAAATTGTTTTCCAAAGTAGCTGCATCAATATACATTACCCCAAGGCATAAATAAGTGTTAGGATTGCTCCATATCTGCAAAAAAATTTTGATATTTTTAAGCTTCTAAATTTTTGGCAAGCTGATGACAGTGTAGTAGTATCTCACTATAGTTTTTTTTTTTTAATAGACTTTATTTTTTTAGCAGTTTTTTAGGTTCATAGCAAAACTGAGTGGAAAGTACAGAGTCCCATATACCCCTTGCCCCCACACCCTCTCACATTATCAGCATCCAGAGTTGTACATTTGCTACAATTGATGAACTTGTATTGATACATCATTATCACCCAAAGTCCATAGTTTACATTAGGATTCATTCTTAGTGTTATACATTCTATGAGTTTTGGGGGGAAATATCTATATGTATCATATAATATATATATAGTCAAAACCATAGTTGCAGGGGAGAGAGAATGGGAGAAGGGAAAGGAAGGGGAGGGAGGGGAAGGGAGGGGAGGGGAGGGGAGGGGAGGGGAGGGGAGGGGAGGGGAGGGGAGGGGAGGGAGCAATCTACTCATTAGAGTATTATACAGAACAGTTTCACTGCCCTAAAAATCTTATTATTCTTTGCCTGTTCATTCTTCCTTACCCTCTAACCCCTGGCAAGCACTGATCATTTCAATATTTCCATAGTTTTCCCTTGTTCATAATGTCATATAGTTGGAATCATATAGTATGTAGCCCTTTTAGATTGGCTTCTTTCACTTAGTAATATGCATTTAAGGGTCTCCCTGACTTTTCAAGGCTTGATAGCACATTTCTTTTTAGCACTGAATAATATTCCATTGTATGTATATATACCACAGTTTATTTATCTACTCCCTTACTGGAGGACATCTTGGTTGCTTCCAAGTTTTAGCAATTATGAATAAAGCTGCTATAAACATCCATGTGGAGGTTTTTGTTGGACATATGTTTTCTACTCATTTGAGTAAATACCATGATCATAATTGTTGGATAGAATGGTAAGAGGTGTTTAGTCGTGTAAGAAACTGCCAAACTGTCTGCCAAAGTGGTTGTACCATTTTGCATTCACACTAGTAATGAATGAAAATCCCTGTTGTTTCATCTTTACCAGCATTTGCTGGTCAGTGTTTTGGATTTTCATCATTATAATAGGTAGATAACTGTATTTTGTTGTTTTAATTTGCATTTCCCTAATGACATATGATGTTGAACATCTTTCATTTGTTTGTTTGCCATCTGTATACTTCTATGGTGAGGTTTCTGTTTAAATCTTTGCTCATTTTTAATTGGTTGGTTCATTTTCTTATTGTCAAGTTTTAAGAGTTCTTTATCTATTTTAATAACAGTCTTTTTTCAGATATATCTTTGCAAACATTTTTATCCAGTCTGTGACTTGTCTCCTCACTCTTGTGATAACTCACTATAGTTTTACTTTATTTTCCTGCTAAAAAATGAGGTGATTGTCTTTTCTAAAGTTTATTGGTCATTATGGTTTTCTCTTATGTAAAATGCCTGTTCAAATATTAGCTCTTTTTCTATTAGTTTGTCTTTTTATTATAAAACTTTAAAAGAATTATTTATGCTGGATAACTAATCCTTTGTCAGTTATGTTAATTTGTATATGTTAATTTAGTCTGTGGCTTTCCTATTCACTATTTTTATGGTATGTTTTGATAAACAAAAAATTATTTTATTTTTAATGTAACCTAATTTCTCAGCCCTTTCTTTTATGATTTATTATTTCCTTCCCTACTCCAAAGTCACAAAGATACACTTCTCTATTGTTTTTAAGAGTTTTATATTTTTGACTACATAGGTCTTCAATCAATCTGGAATTGATTTCTTTGTTTGGTGCAAATAGAAATCCAATTTCACTTTTTTTCCAGATGTTTGCCCAGCTGTCTAGCAGTATTTACTGAAATTCTTTTGGAATTTCAAGGGGAATTAGAGCACAGTTTTAGGTCAGTTTTGAGAAAAGCTGATTCTTTACAATGTTAAGTTTTTAGTCCATGAGCATGATGTTTTTCTGTTTATCTTTAATATCTTTCTATAAAGCTTTATAATTACCTTCATAAAAGTCTTGCACATCTTATA